CCGTTGTAAGGGGGCTGTACGACATCGTGGACCTACATAGACAATTATCTTCCAGGGGGTAAAGTACTCTGAAGAAACTCCTTCAGTGGGTTTTCAGATAATTGCATTGAAAAATGTAGCTAAAATCATTAAACTACCGAATATCGGGGGTACCATCTTCGAACTTGACCTGCCTGCAGACAATAGACTGTGCTGTGCAAAATTTTAGCTACTCTAGCATAATTACAACAGACTGACGCATAGGGCTAAATTGTTTTAGAATATGTATATACCTCGATAGATCTAAAATTATTACTTCGATGAGTTACAACCCGAATGACGAACCTTATATACCCTCCATACTTTACATGGTGTAGATTATAAAAAGCTATGCTATTTTATTTTTCACAACAATAAATTGAGAATAATTTTAGAGATACTTAAATTGTATGTGGTTTCTGTAACAGTTCTCTGTAATGATTATTTTTCTGCAATAAACATCGAAATGTAAATACTTTCTTGCTCTGCAAACACACTTTCTCCAGTTGAAGTACACATTTCAATGGGGGGAAATATCTTCTTTATATTTTATACATTTGATTGATTCCTTATGGATTCAATCACACATTCAATGCGATTCCTTTGGTATTTTGTTAAAGTAAGGATTATTGTTATGCACAGACACTCTTTCATTTTTCTACTTTCATAACAAAAGTACATACCTATGGAATACTGTAATGAGTTTTGATAAAAAAAAGTCGTATACATATGTATCGTACCTCGTACCACGTACCTGGGGAATACTAAAGGGAATTACGATAAAGACATATAACACAGAGTTTCAGTATTACACGTATGGAAACCTAGAGTCAAAAGATTTTCTATATATATCCTGCATAACATGTTCTGGTACATTTTATTTAATTGAAATACTATTGACATTAATTTAATATTTTTTATCTTTTCATTATCACTACAATTATTTTTTTTTTTTTTTTTTTTTTTTTGATTTTCCATTTTAAATCAATTTTTTAAAATTTGTATAAAAAATTAAATTTTTAACTGTTTTTTTTTATAATCATCCCACCATGAAGGTTGCTCTGTTCTTTAATTCTCCATTATCTAAAATAATATTTTCATTGGCACAGCAATTATACGTGGCAATAACCATCGTACTCGTCATAACATATACCTACATACATATATATCCTCCTTTCCTTTCAATTTGTTATCCCTGGTAACCGCCAAGAAAACGCAAACACACTTGCCGTTTTTTTTTTTTTTGTATGTATGTCTCTACAAATATAAATATTCGTTAAAATATGAATGTATGTGTACTCACTCGTTTTGTATATGACTGAAAGAATTTGGTTCTTCAGAAAAATTGCAATTTACAAAATGGTTTTGAAATGGAAAAACAACAGCAACAGCAAAATAAACTAACCATAGTAACCATCACCATCCATACTTTTCAACTTTGAGAAATTCCCATCATACAAACATACATTGGTAAATATTTGTGCAACTGGTGATGTTTTTTTTTTTCGAAAAATTCCAATATTGGTAACAGACAGACCATGAATACCAAAAAATGTACTTGCTTTGGAAAAATGCTTGAAATGAAAAGCAGTTTAAAAAATATTTCATTCTGTAATTGAGGATGGATAAAATTTCCACTATTAAAAGTTTAATATATGAGCCTAGCAAGTACCCGCTACTTTGTAAGAGAAAAGTTCAACTTAAAATTTTGTTTAGTTCCATCAGTTTTTTTAGCCCTAAAAATGTACAATTTGTTTAAATTTACAAAAAAAAAAATCGCTTCATGCATCGTAGTACCTCTAGGCCAAAACTATTTGAACGTCTTTTCATAATAAATATTCAAATTCTAGAAACTAACAATTACCTCAACATCGGATTTCGAGATTCAAGCTCTATACATTCATCTTTGTACCATTTAGTACTTTTCGAATAATCATTGCACGCATCCCTAAACCTACTTCTTTCTCTCAACTACACACCAACAGTGGCCCACATATACAATTTCAGAATTCCAGATCAATCCAAAACCCAATCCCAAATTGATTACCACACCTTCCCCCTTAGACACCAACAGTGATACCTAATTTCATTTTGTGGCATTTTGCACTTTTCATATATTTATATTACGAATTTCCAAAACCACATCGCTCTCTCTCAACTACAGACACCAACAGTGACATCTATGTGAAATTTCATGACTTCAACTCTATTCCTTCACCCAATATCAAATTTAGTACTTTTCTTCGATTATAGTTTGTCCCATAGACCTGAAAATCAAATTTTGTGGTTTTTGCAAAGTATCAAATTTCAGTTCTATGCCTTCAACCAATAACAACTGAAGTGGTATTTAGTATATTTCGAAGAATTATAGTACGCATTTTCTAAGCTTTCATCCTTTTTCTAAACCTCATATACCAAATCAAATTTCGGGAATCTAGCTCTGTCCTTTCACCCGATACACAATTACGTAGCACTTATAACTTTTCGAACAACTATGGTACACATTTCCACAATCATCTGCATATCTCAATTTGAGACACCAACTAAGATCTCAAAATAAAATTTCGGGTTTCCAGCTCTTCACCCTTCACCCAACACCAATTTAGTAACAGTTAGTACTTTTCAAACAATGTACTATATATATTTCCAAAACAACCTCCATATCTTAACCACAGACACAAACAGTGAAATTTGTATCAAATTTCCGGATTTCGGCTCTATCCATTTACCCAATAAGAAATCCAGTAATATTTAGCACATTTCGAATAATTAAAGTATGCATTTTCAAAAACTTCTCCATATATCAATGCCAGATACCAACAGAGACCTCAAAATCAAATTTCTGGATTTCAGCTCTGTAATTTCTCCCATTACCAAATTTAGTAACTTTAGTACAATTATAGTACACGTATCCAAAACCAGTTATTTTTCCTAATGACAGACACCAACAGCGATATCCTCATCAAATTTCAGGATTTCACTTCCAACCAATACCAAACACATATTTTACAATTATCCCCCTTACCAAAATTTAGTACCATTATGTACACTTATAGTACGCATATCCAAAACCAGCTACTTCTGCAAACCACAAACATCAACAGATTTCAGCTCCATTCCTTCACATTATATCAAGTACTTTTCGTAATTTATAGCGCACAATTCCAGATACCAACAGAGACATCAATATCAAATTTGACGATTCCAAACCTATTCCTTCACCCAATACCAAATTTAGTACCATTTACTCATAAAATATGGTACGCATTTTCAAATCCCACATACTGATACCATAAGTAATTTAAATATCAAAGTTCAGAATTTTATTTCAATCTTCAGTATTTTTCGTACGATTTTCAAATTTTCAAAATTCCTGCTTTATCCGTTCAGCCTTAACTAAACTGTTCCAAATTTAGTACAGTTCGCACACTTAGTACACATTTCCAAAATCACATATATCAAACATATTTATATATCTCATACCAAATTTCAATTTGTTACATCTATCAGTTCACATAACAAGAAACGGTATCATTTTAGAAGTTTTTGGAACCATTTTGGAACTTTTTGTAACCTTAAAGTACGAATTTGCGAAAACCATACGGTAAATTTGTCCTGTACTCCATCAGTGACTCTCATTTCCACTCTTAGTACAGAAGTCAAAGCATTAAATTTTTAGTACTTTTCGTTCCCTTTTAGTATGAATTTCCTAAAACCCAGCCATATCACACGCATACACACCAAGACTGACCTTCGTACAAATTTACAAGATTCTACCGTCAGCCGTTTCGTCTGGACGTTGATTCTCAGTCAGTTATTTCGTTGGACTTTTACGTACTGGGTGAGATATATATAAAACTGCAACAAAGTCAAAGGATATAATTTTTTTTTACATTTTATTTTTTAATTTTATTGAATGCAAAAAATGTCTGAAATAGCATCAAATTTTAGAATAACTTCAGATTTGTTCGAATTGGTCACATTTGACACGAATTATGGCATTCAAACGGTCAATGAAACTGTCACACGCTGCCCAAATGTTGCTCTGTGTTATTTTGGCTCATTCCCGGTGAAGCGCTTGCTTTCAAAAATAGTCTAACATATGCCAACTGCCTTGGCGATTTTAGTCACATTTTCACAGGCCTTATGGAACTCTTAATAAGGTTCAGAAAATGTCAATACATATTTCTTACCTGCATTTAAAAAAAAGTACAAATATTTTCTCCTTTTTTATATGAATTCATTTTATTATTTTAAAAAATATATATATTAAGTACATTAGGCCCAGATTCAATTTCAAAATACATTGCAGTTATAATACAACTGGTGAAATTCTATCACAAATGAAAATAGTCTTTAAAAAAATACAATTAAAAATTAAGATCAGAAAATACATTTCATTAAGGAATCGTAAAACATAGTCTCATTCTCCAAAATAAGAAATTTAAATTAAAATCAATACTTTAAATATCTATAAATAAGTGCAAAATTACTTTCTTACAATTGATTGGTCTTTTTTTTGTTGGTGGCCTACAATTGTGGCCCGTTATCAAAACTAGTTTTACTGAATATTTCAAATAATAAAATTTTTAGATTACAAATTTTCATTGATTAGAATTAAAAAAAAAAAAAAACAAAATTATGGTGTTTCTTTATATAGATAAGTTAACTGTTATTAATTAAGGTAGATAGTGTCAAGCATACATAAATACATGCACGTATAAATATTTGTTGTTTCTTTTACATTTGGTATGCTCGTTTTTCTCTTGTTAGTTTTTGTTCACAGGGTGTGTCAAAAGGTAATGACAATAAAAAATGGCTTTTTGGGGCATTTAGTTATTGTGTACATAAAATATATATTGTAATACAATATAATATATATTAAATATTTTAATGATATATATTTTTTATATAATATATATAGTATTTAATATTATATATTTATTTTATACTATGTATTCTAAGTACATATGTAGTCTAGATTTTTGTAATGACCATTTTTTAATTTTTTTCTTAATATAATGTTTTAATGCCAGCCATTACATTTTGGAACACCCTGTACAGATCTTTGGTGTTTCATGTCTTTTTATTATTTTTATTTTTTTCCCTTTCGAAAACAAAATCGAAAATTAACCCAGTTAATGATTTTCAAAATATCAATAACAGGCTTCTCCAAAACTTTTCTACATTTTGCTTCATTATTTTCTTTGTGGTTTGTAAATATTCAGTTCATAGTTTTTTTTTATATTTTTACATACATACATTTTTTAATATTTTTATATAAATAATTTATTCAAAAATGTTTAAGCTCAATACTTTTTTATGTTGCAAATACCTTTAAAATGCTTTAGAAAAATATATAGGTTGTTGTCTTTTGAGTTGTTGTCACAAAAAGGTAAAATTTACACAGAGCATAGAAGACGAACGTTTTCGTTTTGGTGTAGGCGTGTCATCATCGTGTAGAAGAGAGAATTCTTTATCCTTCCCTTAAAGCAGCATATCTTCATCATCCGATTCGGTAAACTCGCCATTAGGATTTAACAGCAAACTGCCTTCTTCGCTATTGTTTACCTTTTGTTTTTGCAAAAAAGTTAAAAGAAAACAAAAAATTAAATGAAAGAATAACAAAAAGCTCAAAGATAATGAGTATAATGCCTAAATATGCCGAAGGCGGCAACGAAATTGTCCATCATGGCATGGCCATACTTACCCGTCTATATCTTACAGATGAAGTGGAGCGATTGAAGAAACGTCTCACCATATTACGGCGTTCCGGTGAAAAGGCAAACATACCCAGACAGGCCACGACAAATGTAACCGACAATATGGATGCCAAAATGACTGGAAAAAAGACAAACACAAGCACACGCAAATTTTAATTAAAGCTTTAAGCTATTTTGAGTTTGCAACAATGTATCAAGAATGCGGTACTTACCTCCAATGGATCCCGTCTTTTCGGCAGGATGCTGTTGACTGGTATCTTCAGTGGGATAGCTGGGTTGACCATTTGGTTTTGAGGTAGTATTGGGCTTGTCTGTGGTGACGGCAGACGATGGCGGGGAAGAAGTGGGGTTCACCGTTGTCGTCAATTTTAAACCCAAAAAGTCACAAATATCGGGAGTCTTTTGAATGTACAGCAAATAGCACTGCAAAAAAGCAAGTTTAAAAGCTATTTGGAACGAATTTGGAAATTTTCAAAAAATAAAATCCCTTAAAAAAATCTGTTAAAATCTTAAAAATACCGAATATAGCCGTTATTGGGTCTATACGACGTGGACCTACATAGGCATTGTTTTTCATAAGTTATTACCATATTCAATTACGAAACTTTAAATAAATAATGAACAATGTAGCTAAAATCATCAAAATACCGTATAGAGGTAGGTACCGTGTTATATCGGAGCTATACGAAGACCTGGACCTTCAAAGACAATTTACTGTCATCCATTACGCATCCATTACGAACTTTAAATACGATATCTCAAACGATTTCAGTGAGGATTGTACCTAAAATCGTCAAAATACCGAATTTAGGGAGGTACTGATATATGGGGCCTATACGAAGACCTGGAACTGCATAGAGAATTTTCTGTCATAGGCTGTAATATCCATTTCGAACTTCAAATACCAAGTTTGAAACAATTCCGATGAACAATGACGCTAAAATCATCAAAATACCGAATATCGGGAGGTACCGTTATATGGGAGCTATACGAAGACGCGGACCTGCAGAGACAATTTTCTGTCTTAGGCTGTAGTATCCATTACGAACTTCAAATACCAAATTTAAATCAATTCCGGTAAAAAAATGTCGCTAAAACCATCAAAATATCGCATATTGGGAGGTACTGATATATGGGACCTATACGAAGACGTGGACCTGCAGAGACAATTTTTTGTCATAGGCTGTAGTATCCATTACGAACTTCAAATACCAAATTTAAAAAAATTCCGGTAAAAATGTCGCTAAACCATCAAAATACCGAATATAGGGAGGCACCGTTATATGGGGGCTTTACGAAGACCAGGACCTGCATAGACAATTTTCTGTCATAGGCTGTAGTATCCATTACGAATTTCAAGTACCAAATTTGAAATAATTCCGGTGAATAATGACGCTAAAATCACCAAAATACCGAATATCGAGAGGTACCGTTATATGGGGCTATATGAAAACGTGGACCTACATGGCCCCTTTGCGAACTTAATCTGCCTACTGGCGAAATAAACATGTGTGAAAAATTTTAGCCTTCTATTTCAATTCGTTCGAAAAATAACGTCATTACAACAGACAACAGTCGGACATACAGACAAACAAACAGACGGACAGACAGACAGACAAATGGACATCGCTAGATCGTCTTAGAATTTTACGCTGATCCAGAATATATATACTTTGTAGGGTCTACTATGAATATTTCGAGGAGTTACAAACGGAACGACCAAGTTAATATACCCTCCATAGTATAGTGGAGGGTATTTAAAAAAGATGGAAAAACAATATATTTATTAATTCCGTTTTGTTATGCTTTTTTAAAAAAGCTAGAAGAATAACAAAGGATATCTTAATGCTTTTTCCGACACATTATTATTGCCAAATATAATAAGCCAACCAGCAATGGCCATATCCGTTGCCAAGACAACGCCAAGCCAGGCTGCCAGCCAGCAGCAGTCGGCTAAGAAGAATAACAAACGCGTTAGAATTATTATCTGGCAAGAATGTAATTTTCTTAAGTGAACTTTAATGCAACTTTTCACTCCTTCGCCAAAAGACGACGCCAGTCGTCGTCTAGAGGTGGTGGTGGGGCTAGACACTGCTGTTGCTGCTGCTCATTGTCTATTGCCACGTAAAATTGTTAGCCATTTTGGGAAATTACAACTAAACTTGTGTTTGTTGCTATTTTTTGGAGAACAGGAACCAGCAAAACAAACAACAACAATGGCGTTAGTTGTTTGTTATTTTCGCCTGAAAATGTGCAGCACGAAAATTTTTGTCTGGCGCTGTTAGAATTCTTTACATTATTGCCACTGCTGCTATTGTTGTTCTTCTTCGGCTCCTTTCTGTTTCATATTCCACAACTGCAGTTTGCAATTCCAAATATTTTCTACCTTATTCCATTTATTTTGCTGCTGCTGCCGGGGGACTATTTGAAAAAGAAGCAACATTCCATGTTCTTTTAAACTTGACTATGCAAGTTATGATAATATCTACTGGTCTTACTTCCCCCTGGCCTTCCACGGAAGGATAAAATTTTATTAACGGACTGTTTTTAACTAAAGCAAACTTGAAACTTTTTTTGGGGGGCTAGTAATCTTTAAACAATTGCAATTTTTGTTGTGTTGCTTTAAGCTCCAAAGAAAAAAAAAACGTTATTACTTTGCTTTATGCACGAAATGCCAAAAACAACAACAACAAGGGCGCAGGAAATATGCAACAGTTTTCGTAATTACTGACCTCGCTGCTGAGGCAAAGGCAGAGCGATTTTCAATTTAAAAGGCAAATTATTGCACATTTTCAAATTCAAATAGGGATAGTTTGGTAGATAATTTGAAAATAAATGAAAATGAATTTTTAATATGGAAAATGTGTAAATTAAGCCCCCTAAGGTAGGCAATAGTTTTTTCGTTCATTTTATGCCTTAATATATGTTTAAAATCGAATTCTGTAATATTATGCAAAATATAGTCTGTAGTACATGATACAATGAAGACATGGAAGGCTCAGTTGTAAATGTTACATAAAGCAATAAAAAAAACTACCATTCTTCCTCTTATGATGATGGTGAAAGGTAATCATTCATAATTATAAACAGGGTGAGATAAAAAACTACAACAAAGTCAAACGCCATAATTTTTACATTTTTTTCGGAAATGTCGGAAATAGCATCAAATTTTAGAATAAGTATAGATTTGTACGAATTTGTCGCCTTTGGCACGAATTAAGGCTTTCAAACGGTCAATAAAACCGTCACACGCTGCCCGAATGTTGCTCTGTGGTATTTTGGCCCATTCCCGGCGTAGCGCTAGCTTGAGGTGATCGACACTTTGGTATTTTTTAGTGCCAACCTTGCTTTCCAAAATACTTCAGACACAATAGTCCAACGGATTGATATCCGGAGATTTTAGTGGCCATTGTACACTGGAAATGAAGCGAGGAACCTCATTTTGGAGCCATTCTTCAGTATTGAGTGCTGTGTGCGATGGTGCTGAGTCCTGTTGGAATGCCCAGATCTGCAGCCAAAATGTTTGCTTGCCCAAGGCTTTAATACACCGAAATATGTTCGCCATAACATTCGACATTTATTCTAATGCCACGATCGATTAATACGAGCAGAGAGCGAACATCGGCTGTTATGGCGGCCCACACCATCACAATGGCCGGCGCTTGCTGGTGGCCGACCGAAGATGCACATTTTCATCTGACCTCTTTGGCAAGTAAACACGATCATTTTGTTTGTTTACAAATTGCGGGACAACGAATGTTTTCTCATCGGAGAAACCAAATTCGGCAGTTCACCACTTTCGGCCAAGCGAAGCAACTCTTTAGCTCTTTTATGTCTATTTTCTTTCCATTGCGGTCTAAGTTCTTGCACTTTTTGGAATTTCAATGGCTTTACCCCGAGCTATTTTTTCAATATTTTCCGAATGGAATATTGCAATATGTTCAGCTCACGAGCCATTTTCGGCCACTGCGACGCGGGTTTCGATCAAGTCGCTTTTTTATTGTTCGAAGCATTTCTGTTGATGTTGCTGTTTTCTTCCGTCCACTTCATTGACTTCAGGCTACACTACCAGTACTACGATAACGAGCGATGGTACGAGACACAAAAGATTTATTCATATTCAAATGCTGGAGTGCTCCAACGATAGTCACTTGTGGTTTACCAGCCAAATATAAAGACACCAGACTATCACACTTGAATTCCATCACGAATAACTTTTTTCTGGAAAATTCATACCAAAATGCTTTTGTACGTTTATAAACAATATAATGAGCTGTCACTGGAATAATTTTAACAGCTGTCAGACGAGTGGCTTAGGAATGACAGCAGTCTGAAGTTGGTTGAAGTTTTTTCATCTCACCCTAGGTTTGCTTGGCCCAAGGGCGAACCCTATTGAAAGTGGTGAAAATCGGTTCAAATTTAGAGATAGCTCCCATATATGTCTTGAACCGATTTCGGGTTAATTCTACACCAAATGGCCTATATCAGTCCGAATGACCTGAATTTTGGCACATCCGACTGAATTCATCCTAGAAACAAGTACTCCAAATTTAATGAAAATCGGTTCCGATTAAGCTATAACTCCCGTATATATGTTTTATCCGATTTGGCTTTAAATTCCCTCACATGCGTAATATGAACTCCACAAGTATGATATTTGGTATCAGATTTCAGATACAGCCCAGAAATTCCTCTGCCAAATTGTATCAAGATCCGCACAGATTTGGATATAGCTCCCATATATATCTTTACCCGAGTTCAGGTATTTTGTGCTTCAAAATGGCTATTATCAGCCCAAATGGAATTAATTTTGGCACTTCCGACGGGATTCAGCATGCGTAATATGGTTCTGAAAAAGATTTTGGGTTGAGGAATATTCTCTTTAAAATGGATAACAAATTCATTCCATCTCATAACTTTCATTTTCCGAACTTTTCCAATTGCGGTAAACTTTAAATTGATTTCATGACTACACTCCAGAGAAATTTTTCCACCATCAATGAATACATTTTAAATAAAAACAATCACTTTCCATGCCACAAAAATCTCTTTTCGATCTTAAATCAAATTGTTAAAATTCATAAAAAATTATTAAAATTTATAAAAATGTTCTCTTATGTGCAATATGTAACCAAAAAATTGAAAAAAAAAAAACAATAAAACATAAAATTTTATGCTGCCACCACCACACCAACAGAAAAAGCCTTAAAACCAAATAAAAAATTGAAAAAAAAAAACAACAACAACAATACTCAACTGAATAAACCAGGAAAAAAGGCTTCATTGAAATTGCTCCGACAGAAGGGTAAAGTCAACAAACAATGCAAAAATGTTTGCGGAGCCAGAAACACAAAAAAAGAATAATATGCTTCAGTGGTAGTGGTAAAAGCACAGTGAACAGGAGGGGTAGGAAGGGTGAAAGA